GGGGGGGTATGTGTGCGTATGCGTGTGCGTGTGTACGTGTGTTTAGTTACGTGTTTAAAACTCTCTATTTTGCAACACACGGATATTATCGTCGATTTGCTTTTAAACACACTGAGGATTCTATGATTATTATTATTTTCTTATTTCCCATTCACCACAACAGGATAAAGCATGAGAGAAAATTAATAAGAAATTTTAAAAAGAAATAAGATGCCTCTCCTTCGTATTATTCTGATCCTTTTTTCCACTGTACCCTCTTTTTATTCAGATAGCAATGGAAGAATGGGCAGTCAGATGTTCGGGTGCACCCATTTCTTATGGTTTTTATCTGTTGAGTCTCCTGGTCGACCAGGACAAATAGCGCCAGTCATTTCCTATCCATGGGCAGCTGAAACTGATATGAAAATATAACGCCACGTGACGTTGCATTGCACCGCCCGCTCCGCTCTGCTTGCAGTGTGGCCACCCAATGTTAGCGCCTCAAATAGCTGCGCTCTGCTGTGCCCGCTCTGCTCGCAGTGTGGCCAGAGCCTAAGGTCACATGAGCGCCAAACTTAAAGTCAACAGTGAGGTCAGCCCCGTAGGTGTTAAGAACAAATTACCTTAGAAATACAATTTTCTATCTTCCCAGTACCTCGTTTTGATAAATTTGACATAAAAAATTTGAGTTTCGCCACATTTCAAACTTTTTCGAAAGCAATCACAGACTGATCTTACTATTTTGACAGAGCATTGCTTTCTGGTCACAAGGCTTTAGTAACTCAAAACGACGAAAAATGTCAGATAGAACTTTGTAATTCTGAGGTAACAAAGAAGCTCTCAATTTTTGGCTCCAGGACGGGTCTTTCCAGAGTACCAAGACTCGACATCTCCATCTTCTCGTAAGGTCAAGGCCAACCAGCCTGAGACAGATACAATAAAAATCCAAGATCCCTACAGGACCATCTACCAGCCACAGTGAACATGCTGAACCATACCCAAGAGGCGCCATGATGGGAAAAGAAAAACACAAACATAATTATACAAACGTCCATTCCTATGTTCACCACAAAAGATGACCACAGCGACCTGAGCAAGAAGTCCCTCACCCTGTCCATGCTGGAACAAAGATACAGACGGATCTGCCACTGATGCTGTGAAAAGAGGAGGCGCCAGAGTGTACGTACAGTTCCCAAATGGACGACGACAAGTAGAGGCAGTCCTAACAGGGCGACATTTTGCACAAACTACAGGGCAGAGACGGAGGCTCTAGTACATGCAGCAAACATCATCAAGAATGTGGTAGACCCCCAAAGCCAAGTAGTTTTCCTAACAGATGCCATGTCAGTACTGCAGGCAATCACTTCCGACAAACTACCAAGGCTACGAAAAGTAATTGAGGACATCCCATTTCTGGGGATCATGCTGCAGTGGATTCCATCACACTGTGGTGTCTTAGGAAATGAGCAGGCAGACAGGATAGCCAAACTAGGAGCACAGAAAGAGCAACCAGACAGCAGCGTTAACTACTCAGAAATAAAAACTATTATAAATACACTATTTAAAGCACCACAGACACCAGATGGTTACCATGAGCTGTCCCGCCAAAAAACAAGTGATTATCTTCAGACTCAGGACACAACACACAAGACTGAGACAACATATGTACAGATGTTTTAATCTAGTACAATCACCAAAATGCCAGTGTGGAGAGGCGGACCAAACTGTTGAACACATCCTTCAGCACTGCAAGACACACAGGGCACTGAGACAGGAAACGTGGCCAACTCCATTAACGCTACAAGAGAAGTTTTTTTACGGGCCGACGAATGAACTGAGAAGGGCAGCCCAATTTATGACAGATACCAGACTTCAAGTGTGATGCGATCGAGAAGAAGAAGAGATACAATGTCCAAGCAGAAAGACGGAGATACTTGATAAAAATTTTCA